TGCAATTTAAATCACGATGCACGTGTGGGACATATGTGTAATAATTTTATAACATATCAATTTGTGTTTAACCGTACTTGATTTCAAACGTTTTGTTTGCAGACAAACAAATTTGACAAATGTTCCCGGAGATGTCTGTGTACGTTTTTGTAGGCAGTCCTGGCTCAGGGTAAAGTTAAACCCCCCTCAAATCGGTCGATTCGAATAAAACACTTTTTTTAAGGGGATTGGATCGAACCATCCAAAACTTTGACACGTGACTCGTAACACCTAAGGATTATCCTGACACTTTCAAAATTTGGATTTTTGAACAAAATTTGTTAACTCAGCCCAGACCAGAACCAAAATGACGTCGAGCTCTCATATTTCGATCAATATATAATTATTGAAGGCTCTAATATGAGAAACGAAAATTTCAGAACAATTGTATAACAATTTAGAACACTGTGGTAATCGATAAACTCGCATTTGGACGGGATAAAGGCAAATAAGTGTCTTACGCGATGTTATGCTAAAACGATGGTAATACGAGATCTTGGAGTAAAAATTTAGTTGACTCGGAAATCACAGATGGCGCAGGGGGTCCCTTTGCAGTCAATTAGGGCCTCAGAAACCATGAATCCAGAGGATTTCCGGAGTTTTACTTCGATTTCTTTATAATTATTGTACGTAAACAACAGATGGAGTATACCATTTAGTACAGTACCCAATATAATTCCACTAACTGTCAATATAAAAACGAACGTGGTCAACGTAGGTATTTAGAATAATCTTTTTCATCGACGTCGATCAAGTTCCTCGACGTTTCGCTTCACCTTAAATAATTGCATTCTGGAAGATTTAAATTATGACAGGCTAGATGGGCCTCGTGCCATTTCTTCGGATTAGTGTTCTGCGGCAACCAATAGAATTCAAGATAGAATAGTTTCACTCCACCTAGTCAACCAATAGAATTAAGACCAAGTTGTTTTATTCCGCCTAGCAAACTTAGATTTTTTAGTGCGTGTGTGCTACAATACATTCTAACTGCATAACTCGTCACTCTCACAACTGCACAGTTATTTTTATATTCATTATTAGTAATAATAAAATCGTTTATTAATGTTACAACAATTTGTCGTAGAAAATTAATTTGGCGTGCTTTCGCGACGAAGGAAACGATTCGATAACGCCGAATCCCAAAATTCTCTTTCTCACAACTTAACAGAATATATAAAGGAATGTTTAACACATCATTAATAAAATGTACAGAAAATGTAGTTTAACGTAATAATGTTTCACTAAATATGTTTCGAAATTTTCAGCATAGTAGTTTTAAGTGTGCACGTTAAACAAGTTTTAGGACAATTTAGAACGTTGCATTAATTTAAACTATTTGGAGATTCACATCTGCAATTATTAGTTGAACGCGTGCCTACATGGAAACATGTTTTCCTAATGTACGTAACTTCTTGATATCACAGCGCGAAACAATTATGGAAAATTATATATATTTGAGTTTATGATTGGCTTAGATGACCAGAGAAAGAATCCTAGAGCTCGATAGTCGTCAAGGTTCTTAAAAATGGTCAAGAAACTCGATAAATTGTGGACTTCTTAAACTTTCATGTCGGACGTATGCGGTTGTAACTTTGTAACTTTGTCGTAGCTATCGCGTCCTCGTTCGTTTCCAGATATCTCGATATTATCGGGCTCTAAAACCTAACCATACATGAAGTCAGTTTAATCCAAACTTCGGGAATACGAACTTTCTCAGAATTTAAGTACACACGTTTCCTTAAAAGTGGTAGATCCGGTCATAAGGTAGTAAAAATAGTGATATTTCATTGGCCACTACAACGTTTGTTGTCGAAAAACTTGAAAACATGGAATGTAACTTGTTGAACCATTCGATTGGAGTAAGGCGGCCTGAAGAACATTTGAGCAACATTTGGCCATGGACAATGCGAGGCACTCTTTCTCGAAAGAGGGTCTTGCACGTGGTTAGAAAATAGCTACAGAAGGGACTCGGAATTTATGACCCCGATCAAGGAGGTCTTCAAAATGGCCACTTCAGAGTCTGTCATGGCGACGCATTTCCAAAAGGGTATCGTATGGCTAACAGACATCGCGGACTTTCTCCAGGATTCGAGGAAGCTGTGCCGTCCTGGAGAAACGAACCTTTGGGAGATGCTATCCCAAAGTCAGCCAATCAGGGCTCAGTGCACCCCTTCTTAGGTTTCGACAAAGGAGGAATAAAGTGCATCGAGAATGCAACTTTCAATATCTTTTAAGATTTAGACTCAACTAGGACTTTGGACAATTCGGATGTTTTGTCTCCGCCCTGGGACTTAGGGCGTAACCCGGACACGCGATTGCACCGCGAATTCATATCGACAAATTGTATTCTCTATCCGTTATTTTATTAGTACAATAAATTGTTATTTTTGTTTTTATTTAAATTTGTGCGTGGGGCAAATTCAACGAACTCTGAATTTACCCGCCAGGAACTTACCTCAGCGCTCATTTTCAAACGGCGCAAACATAACTCCTTCACGATAGGTAATATTTATATATTATAGGCAGTATACGTTATTATTAACGTATATGGCCTAAATAAAGTCGTGCCAGCAGGGTTGGTGGCTGTATATGGACATCTAAACAAAAATGGGGTTGTACTATTCTGTTTTTATAAAAATGGATATCTTAAGGTTTTTGGGGCCGCTGAGTCAAAATTTGTTATAAAAATTTCAAAATTTTATATGGCGAATAAATCATGAAGATATTTAGAATTTGAAAAATATTAATATAGAAAAATATACACATGCAGTGCTCGGATCATAAATCAAAAAGCCAATTAGGGCAAATGAGCAATTCACAAAAGGCGCGATGGTCGCATTCTTAAATCTTTTAATTGTAATATCTTCATCAATTTTCAGACATTTTCTATATTATGAAAATTTTAGTTAAAAATTTAGTAATTCCAAAAACGTTGGAATATACTTTTTTTTTAATAAAAATTTGTTCACTATCAAATATTTTATCGGTCATATCGGATACCCCATTTTGAATTTTGAAATTCTGTTATTAGGTTTGAATTCAACAACCCCAAAAAACCTATTTTTCCCACATTACTGGTATAGAAACCTCTTCTTTCTTATATTACGAAGGAATTATCATATACTCATACTATTGACTTGCAATATTTACAGAGATATCGGGTGCTTAACACTAGAACTACCAAGTCCAATCAAAATGACTGGATTTAAACGGCCAACTCCAGCCGAAAAAAATCCGCCACTAGTTCTAGTGTTAATACGTGCCGTGATTACAATTCAATTTCAAATGGACCATCAAGTATCTATCGGTGAGTTTCCTATCCATTGACTTCAATTCCTGAAAAGTATGGGATGCTTACTTTAATTCAACTGCGAACATTGGATCCCGCAAACCAATGCATAATAAATATTCCTCTGATATTTTTGCGAAGGCAGCGAAAAGGAAAGAGCGAGAACCGAAAGCTACCCTTTCTGTCTTTCTCTTACTATTAGATAGGTGTCGCCACATTGCGCTGTGCGACTATTTAATTGAAACGTCGACCCAGATAGACAAAGTGATGCAAATTTGCATGAAATTTGCCTCGTAAAAAATCGCGAAACGAGTCATGAGAATGTGTGGCGGTCATAGCATATATATATATATCAGAAGTTCTTCCTTCTACACGGACCTTTGATAGCCCAGTGATTACGCTCACCGCTTATACCACGTAGTCTCTCGGGTTCGAATTTCGCTCAGGAGATATTTTTCGGTGTCTAAAGCAGGACCTGCCTGATAACCTTACTGACGAGTTCACACAGGCAGACCCGGGACGAAACACAACAACAATTGGGCACACACCATCTCCACACCTATACCCAAAGTTGCTTATGAGTTCTCATTTGGAACTTATATCTGCAGTTTCACAATAACGAACCAAAAATACTTAAATATGAAACAAAGTTAAGTATGTGCAATGTCTCAATGTACGTACACATACAGGTAAATTTATCTCACGCATTGCTGATAAATAAGTGCAGCGTCTATAGCTCGTATTTGATCCATGGAAACGGGAACATGGAGCAATGTCATATTTAACTCACACTTGTAACATTAACTTCATACAAGGTCCGGAAATTAATGTCACGGGATGATGTTACATCTCCTGTTAAATTTTCCACAAATTTTCAGTTCATAAATGTTGGTTATGGAATATGACTGAAGTATGCGATAAATATATTGCTACAACCATTTATGACAAGTTTACCGCGAATTTTTGTTCAAATTTATTGCGTAATATGCATACACATATTGCAGACATTCCATGCAGGAAATGGCCTGCAAATTGTTTGTAAATCGATTTTCCTCGTCAAATGATTATTATGAATTTCTATCTGGGAACAGATGAGCGAGAAAACAGTTCCTTCGTTCTCTCTCTTTCGGTTCTGCTATCTTCATAGCCAAATCAGTGTGCTGGTTCTATAATGTATTAGTGACCGTAAGCACAATAGATATAACTAGTTAATCAAATTGTCGGACACCGACGTCATATTCAATTTTCTGCAATTTCATTGACCCCTTCTTATTGTTGTGCTTACGGTTACTCATAAGCGAGGTATCGGTGAAGGTCTTAACCTTTTTCGCTACTGCAGGCCTCGTTGCGGAATCCCTCTCGTAGAACGGGGCGTCGCGACAAAAGTGTAACCATTGCGCGCTTCAGTTCGTATGAAGTTGGCGTTTTGTGGCCGATGACTATAGTGACCCTTCGGGTATAAGTGGCGTTTTGTGGCAGGTGACTATAATCACCCGTCGGGTATAAGTGGCGTTTTGTGGCGGGTGACTATAGTCACCCGTCGGGTATAAGTGGCGTTTTGTGGCGGGTGACTATAGTCACCCGTCGTAGCAAAAGGATTAAACATTTAATCGCTTACATATGTAGACTGCACCGCGTATCCTGAACGAATTGGCCTTCTTCGAATACTTACGTCGACCTTATCGCCAAGAGGGCTAAACACCGTCATTGGTGGCATCTCTTTGGGCAGATATCGGAAGAACTCCTGCTGCCCTTTGTACCACTTGACGACGTAGAGGGTGTCGGACTCTAGGTCGTACAGACAGGCCATGCTGACCGTGGAGTTGGTGGCCACCGCCAGTGGTATTTTTATCGACACATTCCGCAGGCCCCGAACACCTGCAACAGGGGTGCAAATTCAGAACCAAGGACTTGGATTGAAACGTAATAACGGTTTTGGTTCAATCTTGATTTTCTTTAACGATTTCGGTTCTGGTCTCATTGTCAATCCAGTAAGAGAAAAAATATGCAGCTCGCGGGACACACGACCGAAGTAATACTTCAACAATTCATTTACATTATGTAAAGACGGAGCTTCTGTTCCCAAATTGAAAGGTCCTGCTGCGCAACTTATCGGGTTTGTTTCCTCTTCACTTTCATTTATATTATTTTCCGTTGCATATGTATATACAGACTGATGTATTCACCAATGTATATGTGAACGTCGATACAATATACTATTCAGTACTCCCGGATGTATACATTCGCCCGACTAAGGAAGAAGACTAACTCAGACTCGCTCGAGTTAGGATGGATAGCGCTACGTTGCCCCGTTGCTATGACGACGAACGCAACACGCCATATACTATATATATACCCACACGTACGGGATAAATGACGTCACAGGGTTGGTGTGCGGGAAAGAGAGAGGGGATACATTCCAATGCGTAATGCTTTTTCGTTACATCTCATCTTTCCCAGAATTTTACTCCTCAAATGGTTAAGGCTCGGGCGCCACGCAGGAAGTTTTACTTAATAAATAGCCTTTATTTAATAAATACCGACAGGTAATGTACATTTATTGGCATTATTGTACAATTTTTTTATCTGACGTGCTCGACATAAATGGAGTATTTATAGAAAACTAATTAAACTGTTCCCATTCTTTTTCGTCGCGTTTATGTTTACGATATTCCCGTTGCCGCTGGACTGCAGATTTCGAAGATGAACCTGAATTTTTAATTCTGGCGATACACTTAGGAACACAATGATAGTACACAAAATTGAGCCTGCAACAACTGTCTACGGAGGACGAAATGTCAAAGCGGATTATAAACGGAAACGAGTTCCCTGTCTTAGCGGTTAAATTGATTAACTAAATGAATCATCGCGATATACTTAGGGACACAACACAATACACGTTTCTGACTAGGTTAATAGGTAGTTACTGGTTATATACTGCAACGGGTGACGAAAAGAAAATCAATGGTTCACAAAATCATGCCAATAATGACAAATAACCATGCGAGTAAATCGGCTCCCGATGCAGCCACAGCGATACAAGTGACGTTAGAGTGGTACAAGAATTCAGCTGTACGCATTGCAAAAAGAATCAGCCAAATTGGACGGAAAGTAACAAGGTTGAAAAAGTATAGCAACGGACTCGTAAGTAAAAAGTATCAGATAATCAGGATGACAAAGCACGCGTTACAAAACAATGTGTCGCAAATTTTTGACTGAACAACAGCCATGAGACACGTTCATGGCAAAATTCTAGGATGATTTCCGAGGCTCAGGGATGCTCCACGATAGAGCGCGAAGTTTGTGTGGCAAATTTTTGACTGAACAGTAGCCATGAGACATGCTCATGTAAATATTCCAGGATTATTTCCGAGTCTCAGGGATGCTCCACGATGGAGCGCGAAGTTTGTGTCGCAAATTTTTAACTGAACAACAGTCATGAGACATGTTCATGTCAATATTCCAGGATGATTTCGAGGCTCAGGGATGCTCCACGATGGAGCGCGATATGCCGCGATAGGCCGTAACGAGCAGCGGAATGGAACCGCACCCCCGTGCGCGGAATGCCGATGGCCCGCTTCTTCTGTTCCTTTTTCCGGACTCTTGTCCAAATTAGCTGGCCGGCTTTTAGCGGTAATCGTCGCGCGTATAGGTGACCCAGTGAATTTCACCGAGGAAATTAGAGAGAAATGGAGCCGTAATCAGAGGACGCTGCAATTGGGCCGCGCGTTGCGAACTTTTCGTGTTCTCGATTAAGAGGGTGCTAAAGTCGCTAGAAAAAATCGAATCGATCCCAGCACCTTTTGGGCAACGAAGCAAAATGGGACAGCAGCATTGCGGGTTGTTATGACGTTCCATGGAAAAAATTAGGAAACGTGCCGACGCCCACTCTAGAAACAACGCGCAGTGCTGCGATTAATTATTCACTTTTCTCTATTTTCCATGGAAATTCAAACGAGTTCGGGCAAATTTTTGTAACAATTGCTCATCGAATACTGCACAAGTATTTCCTTTTCTAGTTTATTACGTGACAACACATATTTATTGCAGTAGAAGGTTATTACGTCGCCAAATATGTTGATGGTCGCAAACTCCGAATATTGTTCATCCTTACTAAGGTTCTTTTCATAGAATGCCACGTGTAAAATGAGTTCACAGATTTCACTTGTTGTCTCGCTTCAGCTAGTCAATTGGCAGATTTCTTGCGTAGGATCTACTCTCTTAATAAAGCTTATCCTTTTGCAAATAATAGGTTCTTTGTTACATTACCACACTTTTGATCAAAACAAGATACTTCTAAGGCTACCGTTTCTTTTGTCAGTGACTGCAACATTGTCATCCGTGACGAGTTATTTGAAGATTCTACATGCCAATAAACTAGTCTACTCAACATTGACTCGGTGAGGATATTGACAATATATTTAGGGTAGGAATAGAGCAGTCCGATCAGACCCTGATGAGATCCCTAAATCGGTTCCTGTACTGTAATACTCTCGGGTACCGATCGGTGCAATCAACAGGACTTGATCATTATCTGAGTTTGGCATGATCTGGTTCTAATTAAGGTGATATGGAAGAGTTAGCCTATACGCACACGCGCGCACACACACCCGCACGCACGCACGCACACATTCATCATGGACTAGAACAAACATGGCGGGGTCTGTGCACGTTTTCGATGTTTTACGCTTCTTGAAGGCTAAGAATCGAAAATTAAGTTTCAGGATCTAGCTCGAAAAATTTAGAATACCATAGAAATAGAATATTACAGTTAGATGGGAAAATATGGAAAATACTTTCACCAACAATTGCAAGAGAATGCTGGCTTGTCTCGGGGCTAACACGTGTTTTTATACCAAACATTTCGTTGCAGCTAAACGTCACAGATGGCGACGTTGATCCTAAACAGTCGTTAGAATAATGAATTCACAGTATGTCGGCAGTTTTATGTCGATCTCTTCGTCATTACTTTACTAAAATGGCAAACGCACCGCTTCATTTCGTATTATTCTCAACCTAGAGTGTAACGGACTTCAACATAAATATAAATATCGGTAACGAGACGCTCCAGCTTATGTTCCTACTTAAGTATGCAAAATAGCGTTACTACCAAGAAGGGTATGGATGAATTTTAATTTATTGACCCCGATTGAATTTCTCAGCGCCTTTCATATTATTTGGGGACATCATAATTTCTACTCGGCATAGTAACCCCATTTCTTCGTTTATGCTTAAAAAATAGGCTGCATACTCTACAGGTTATCCGGCGCGCATTCATGTCTTCGGTTACGCGCCCGGCGGGGCGCCCTTTTGCAGTATCATCGAGAAATTTAAATCGCTGCATGCTGCAATTATCTTATATCCTAATTACTGTCGGGCGGACAATTACTCGCGTGGTTTCCGCGGGGAGTCGCAATCCTCGAGGTTTGACGCACGAGTGCAGATCTGTGGTTCGCCACTCGGACCCCGCTTAAGTTGAAGTGAAACCCCCCTAAAATCAGTCGATTCGAATACAACACTTTTTTTTAAGGGTATTGAACCAAACTGTCTGAAACATTGACACATAACTCGTCATCATCTAAGAATTGTCCTGACACATTCAAAATTTGGATTTTTGGAAAAAAAATTTTTAACTCAGCCCAGTCCAGAACCAAAATGGCGCCGAGCTCTCATATTTCGATCAATATTCAATTATTGAAGGCTCTGATATGAGAAACGAAAGGGTCAGGACAATTTTACTACAATTTAGAACACTTTGGTCATCGATAAACTCGCATTTGAATGGGATAAAGGCATTTTTTTGCCTTGCGTTGTATACGCTACTATGCTAAAACGATGGGAATACGAGATCTCGGAGTGAAAATTTAATTAACCTGGAAATCACAGATGGCGCAGGGGGTCTCTCTGCAGTCTATTAATGCCCCAGAAAGCATGAATCCAGAGGATTTCTGGAGTTTTACTTCGATTTCTTTATAATCAAATTATAATCTTAAAATGAATTGTAAAATATTTTTAAGATGAAGTGAAACACGTCGAGGAATTTGATCGACGTTGATAAAGAAGATTTTTCTACATACCCACATTGCCGACGTTCGTTTTCATATTGACAGCTGTGTCGAATTATATTGAGTATTGTACTAAATGGCATACTGTACCTGTCGTTTTCGTACAATAATTATAAAGAAATCGAAGTAAAACTCCAGAAATCCTCTGGATTCATGCTTCCTGGGACCGTAATAGACTGCAGAGGGACCCCCTGCGCGACCTGTGATTTCCAGGTCAATTAAATTTTCACTCCGAGACCTTGTATTCCCATCGTTTTAGCATAGAAGCGCATAAAACACTTCCTTTGTCTTTATCCCGTTAAAATGCAAGTTTATCGATTACCAAAGTGTTGTAAATTGTCGTAAAATTGTCCTAACCCTTTCGATTCTCATATCAGAGCCTTCGATAATTGTATATTGATCGAAATATAAGAGCTCGACGCCATTTTGGTTCTGGTCTGGGCTGAATTAAAAAGTTTTTTCCAAAAATCCAAATTTTGAATATATCGGGACAATTCTCAGATGATCCGTCATGTGTCAAAGTTTCGGACAGTTTGGTCGAATCTCTTAAAAAAAGTATTGTATTCGAATCGACTGATTTGAAGGGGGTTTCACTTCACCTTAAAGGTATCATTTTAAAATGAGTGGCAGTAGTATACTTCGAGGCCGTAATTGCGTAACGATTAATGTATTCTAATTATTTTTTCAAATCCACTAGTTTCCAGCCTACTGCCTCTGTGCTGTCGTTCTGCCGCTCGTCACTGTCGCTCATATGAATGGTACCTTAAGTGGCAGGGCATGAGGAAATTTATTCTCTCC